ACTTTTCGTTGACGAGTCCCTGTGCCTTCCCATGTCCCTGTCTCTCTCTACCCCCGCTAACTTGTTTTCTTTCATTTAAAAATCTAAAGCTTGTATCCGCGACCCTATTGAGTCCATGATCTCTCTTCCCGGTACCTCCACCCTCCCCCACTCAACAACCCAGGGAACACGATGTCTTTGATCCTATGAGTAATACTCCCTCAGCTCCACACGCCCCCGCCCCCCCCCTACCCCACTAAAACAACATACCTCCCTCATTGAGTACCACTCTCCTCCCTCCCCCTACCAACTCTAAACAACATTACCTCCATCATTGAGCTCCACCATTACTCTCCCTCCCCCCCTCCCTACTAAAAACACATATAACTACATTCCGATTTGAGTCACACTTCTCTTCTCTCCCCTCCCCTAAATCAACATACCCTCCATATGAGTCCAACTCTCTCTCCTCCTTCTTTTAGTTCTACCTCCGAACCAACATTACCTACCTTCCTATGAGTCCACTCTCTCCCCTCACCTAACAACTTACCTCCATGAGTCACATTCTCTCTCTCCACTACCCCTAAAACAATATTACCGTACCTTCTATTGAGTCCATTTTACTCTTCTCTCTACCCTCCAATAACAAACATTACCTTCCTATTGAGTTCCATCGCCTCTCTATCCTCCCTAAACAACTTACCTCCCTTCCTATTGAGCCCTACTCCTCTCTCCCCTACCTAAACAACATGTACCTCCTATTCGACTCCACTCTCTCTCTCCCCTACACTAAAACAACATTGAACTACCTCCTATTGATCTATCTATCTCTCCCCTCCTCTAATACAACATTACCTACCCTATTGAAGTCACTCTCTCTAGCTCCCCCTCCCATAAAACAACCTTACCTAAACTTCCTATTAGAGTCCCATTCGCTACTCTCCCCCTCCACTAAACAACGTTACCTCCCTATTGAGTCCCACTCGCTCCTCTCCCCTCCCTTAACAACATACATACCTTCATATGAGTCCATCTACTCTCTCCACCCCTCCCAGCAACAACATTACATTCCTATTGAGTCCAGTTCTCTCTCTCCCTCACCTAAACACATTCCTACCTTCCTATGGAGTACCACGTCTCTCTCCCCCTCCTAAATACAACCCCCCCTCCATACACACCCTACCTTCCCCCCCTCACTCCATTGTCCTCTCTGCGATCCACACTCTCTCCTCTCCCCCTACACCCCCTAAACAACCACCCATTACCTACCATTCACTATCTTTTGAGTCCACATCTCCTCCCTCTCCCACTCCCCAAACAACATTACCTACCTTCCTATTGCGCTCCACTTTCTCTATCCCCTACCCTAAAAACACATCTTCCCCACCTTTACCTATGAGTCACTTCTCTCGCTCCTTTTCCCTACCCACGACCCCTAACAACAACACCCATCCCTTACCAAACCCCTTACATGAGTCCCACCTCTCTCTCTCCCCCTCCCTAAACAAATTACCTCACCTTGGGCCTATTGGTCCACTCTCTCTCCCCCCTTTCCCCCTTTGAGTTTCTTTTATTATTTCTACTATTCCTCCCTCCCTATGCTGACTCCATACCTCTCTCTACCCCTCCCTAATATCATAATTATGCTCTACTAGGTGTGTACTGTTAGACGGATTGGGAGCGCTACCTTAGTGTTTGTTAGTTTTATTTGTAGATGTGCTTCTCTCTTACTACCATACTTTACCTTCCCCTTTCATTTTGTGATATGTTGTCTCCTTGTTATCCCAGTAAAAACTATTCAACTAATCTTCGCTCTGATGTGTTTCATGAGTTACTCTTTCTTTGCTCTTCTTCTCCTACTATCCTACTCGCGCCACATTTCTCAAACCAAACGAGTAACTCCCATTATTGAGTCCCAACCTCTTCCCCCTGCCCTCCTAAACAACATACCTACCTCCTATTGAGTACTCTCTCATAGCCTCCATACCATAAATAACATTACCTCCATATTGAGTCCATTCTCTCTCTCCCCTCCCTAAACAACATTACCTAACTTCCTATGAAGTCCATTCTCTACTCCCCATCCCTAAACAACATTACCTCCCTATTGAGTACACTCTCTCTCTCCCTCCCTAAACAACATCATCACCTCCATATTGAGTTCCATTCTCTCTAATCCCTCCCATCATAAAACAACATTACCTACCTTCTATTGAGTACCATTCTCTCTCCTCCCCTCCCTAAAAACATTACCCTACCCTATTGAAGTCCACTCTCTCTCTCCCCCTCCCTAAACAACATTGATGACTACCTATCCATTAGATGGTCCACTATCTCCCCCCATCCCTAAACAACATACCTCCCTATTGCAGTCCATCTCTCTCTCCCCTCCCTAAAAAATTACCTAACCTCCTATGAGTCCATTCTCTCCTCGCCATCCTAACAAAACAAATTAACCTAACTATTGAGTCCATCTCTCTTCTACCCCCCCCAACAAGATTAACTACCTTCCTATTGAGTCCACTCTCTACTCCCCCTCCCTAAACTAACATTACCTACATTTAGCTATTGAGGTCCACTCATCTCTCTCCCCTCCCTAAACAACATTACCTCCCTATTGAGGTCATTCTTCTCTACTCCCCTCCCTAAACAACATACCTACCTCTATTGAGTCCATTCTCTCTCTCCCCTCCCTAAAAAAAACCATTTACCTCCCTATTGAGTCTCCACTCTCTCTCTCCCCTCCCTAAACAACATTAATATACCTTCCATTGAGTCCACATAAACCTCTCCCCCCCTCCCTAAACAAAACAATACCTCCCTATTTGAGTCCTATTCTCTCTAACTCCCTCCCTAACAACATTACCTACTTCCTATTGAGTCCATTCTCTCTCTCCCCCCCGAAACAACGATTACCTACCTTCCCGATTGAGTCCACTCTTTCTCTCCCCCTCCATAAACAAAATTAACCTCCCTATGAGTCCATTCTCTCTCTCCCCTCCCTAAACAACATATATCTAACCTTCCTATTGACGGTCCATCTCTCTCTCCCTCCCGAACGAACATTACCTCCCTATTGAGTCCACGCTCTACTCTCCCCTTCCCATAAAACAACATACCACCGTCATATGAGTCCATTGCTCTCGTCTACCCCGCCCGGAAACAACAGGGACCGGCCGCAGGGAGGACAGGCGCGCATGCGACCGGTGCCTCCCTAAAACAACAGTACCGACCTTCCTATTGAGATCCACTACTCTCCTAACACCTCCTAAACAACCATTACCTACCTTCCTATTGAGTCCACTCTCTCTCTCCATCCTAAACACATACTTAACCTTACTATTGAGTCCACTCTCGCTCTCCCTCCCTAAAAAATATTACCTACCTTCAGATTGAGTCTCCACTCTCTCCATCCCCCCTCCCTAAACAAACATTACCCCCCTATGAGTCCATTACTCTCTTACTCCTCCTCCCTAAACAACATTACCTACTTCCTATATTGGAGTCCACTCTCTCTTCTCCCTTCCCTAAAACAACAGCTACTTACACTATGGTCCACTCTCTCTCTCCCCTCCATAAACACATACCTACATCCTTATGAGTCCACTCTCTATCCCCCCTCCCATAAAAACATTATCCTCCATATTGACTCCCATTCTCTCTCTACCCCTCCTCTATAACAACATGACCTACTTTCCTATTGAGTACCACTCCTCCCCCCCCTCCCCTTAAACAACATTACCTACTTCAAATTGAAGTCCATATCTTCTCCCCCCTCCCTGAAAACATTACCTCCCTATTGAGTCCATTTCTCTCTCCCCAGCACACTCTGAACAACATTACTACCTTCCTATGAGTCTCTCTCTCCCCCTCCTAAATAACACCCCCCATTACCTCCCTCATTGAGTCCCTTCTCTACTCTTCCCCTCATTCTTAAACAACATACCGACCTCCTATGAGCTCACTCTCTCTACCCCTCGCCTAAACAACATTACCTCCCTATTGAGTCCATTCTCTCTCTCCCTCCCATAAACAACATTGACCTACCTTCCTATATGCAGTCCATTCTCTCGTCCTCCCCTCCCTAAAAAAACATTACCTACATATGTTGCAGTCCACTCACTCTCTCCCCTACCCTAAACAACATTATCTAACCTTCACTGATTAGAGTCCACTCTTCTCCCCCCTCCCTAACCACATTACCCTCCCTATTGAGTCAATCTCTCTCCCCCTCCTAAACAACATTACCTACATTCCCCATATTCGAGATCCACTCTCTCTACCCCCCTACAACATTACCCCTGTAACGTGTCCCCCTATAACCCCCTACAAACATTACCCCGGTAACCTGTCCCTATCTAACCCCTACAAACATTACCCCTGTAGACCTGTCCCTCTCAACCCGCCCCCCCACATTACCCCCTGTAACCTGTCCCTCTCTACCAACTCTATACCCCCTACTAACATTACCCCTGTAACGTGTCCCCCCTAACCCCCGACTACACATTACCCCCCTGTAACCTGTGCCCCTCTAACCCCCCCCCACAAAATTACCCCCCCTGTAACCTGTCCCTCTCTACCCCCCCCCCCAACATTACCCCTGTAACCTGTCCCTCTCTAACCCCCTACAAAACATTACCCCTGTAAACCTGTCCTCTCTAACCCCCCCGACAACATTAACCCCTGTAAAACGTGGTCCCCCCTATAACCCCCCCCCCAACATACCACCCCTGTAACCTGTCCCCCTATCGAACCCCCCTACAACATTACCCCCTGTTAACCTGTACCCTCTCTAACCCCCCCAAACATTAACCTACCCCTGTCAACCCTGTCCCGCTCTAACGCCCACAACATTAGCCCCTGTACACCTAACCTGTCCCCCTCTACAACATTACCCTGTACCCCCCCTACAACATTACCCCTGTAACCTGTCCCTCTCTAACCCCTCTACAACATTACCCCTGTAACCTGTCCCTCTCTAACCCCCTCTACAACATTACCCCTGTAACCTGTCCCCCCAAAACATAACACAGGTGTACCATGAGAGGGTTAACACCCACGCCTCCAGCTGTGAGTTTGACTACGGTCGCCACGGGGTTAAAGATATCTCCAAAGAGCTCCAGGGACTCCAGGAGCACCCGGCTGTCAGGCTACGCTTCACCAAGTGTTTCAGGTGGAATTCTAGATATTCAATTACAAAGCATTGTTGAAAATTCAGAAAAACATTATTTTTTTAGAGTTGAGTTTCCCCCTTAGTCTGCTTTGTGCTGTTGGAAAAGCGCTATAAAAACCAATCCGTCAATGAATCAATTGTTCCTCTGTTTCAGTTTCGCCAGCGCCCGTGCAGAGGCGGCATACCTCACCCAGCGAGCACGCTTCTTCGGAGACAACGAGGGTCTGGACGATTACATGGAAGCGCGGGAGGGGATGCACCTAAAGAACGTTGATTTCCGGGAGCATATCCTAGCCTTCCCGGACCCCACCCGGCAACCGTGGTATTCCCGACCCCGGGTCTTCTGGCTAGCCTCAGCGTTCCTCCTCTCCTGGCCGCTCCGGGTCGTGTCTGAGTACCGCACGGCGTACGTACACTACCACGTGGAGAAACTGTTCGGAGAGGAGACGATCCGTGAGGACGGAGGAGGGGATGGAGTGACGGAGAACGGAGGAACGACGGGAGCAGAGAGGAGTGTCAACGGAGGGTCGAGCTACAGAGCCATATCGCGGGTGAACACCGTGGACATGACGGAGCTGGAGTGGCATATTCGCTGTAATCAGCAAATGGTTCCTTCATATTCCGAAGCTCTTCTCATGGACTTGGAGAGAGAGAGTAATGGAGGAGGAACTAACACCACCACCTCCTCCACACCCGGAGCTCCAGGCTCAGACCCCATCCAGGGGGGCATCCCAGCCGGTATGGCCCACCCAGTGGCCTTCTCCACGGCTTACCTCCTCCAGAGCTGCCCCCGGTGCCGGAGAACCACCTCCAGCTCCAGCCTACCGTCCAGGCTAAGGGCCCCGACGGGGAATCAAGCTCTGCTGAATGGCACCGTGGCTGGGATGAGGGCGAACGGCGTAGGGAGTGGTGGGGGAGGGCAGGGGGGAGGAGGGGGGAGGAGGAGGAGGAGGGGGGAGGTTAGTGTTGAGTCGTAGTGGGTTCTCTCTAGGGAGACTAGGGGGAACACGGCCGAGACCGGCGAGTCTGTTTCACTCTCGTAGTATGGGGGGAGGACTGGGAGGAGGACGGGGGGAAGATGGGGGAGGAGGAGGGTTTCTGGGGATAGGGTCCCGGCAGGGTCAGGATGATGAGGAGAGTAGAGGAGTGCTGGAAGGAGAGGGGGATGAAGGAGAAGAGGAGGAGGAGGAGGAGGAGGGAGAGAGGGATGAGGAAGCAGAGCAGGAGGGAGGAGGAGAGGTGGATGAGGGGATGAGGCAGGGAGAGAGGGATAGACCTCCGTCTTATCACGATGCCTTTTTCTTCCCGGTGTTGATCGTACACGGAGAGGAGAGCTGCCACGGTGGAGATGACGTGATGGACACAATAGTAAACTAACAGGGAAAAGAAAGGGATTAAAAGAAGAGATCCAATTTAAAAAGAGTGGTTGTCACAGTGGGACAGTGGAAAGACGGGATATTATATGGTAGTACAGGACAAGAAAGAGGGGGATGTTGGAGAGTGAGAGAGAGATAGTGAAGTTTGCAGAAAAGGACCAAAATAATATGAGAGGGGGTAAGAGTAACATGGCACAGAGATATAGAGAGGTCAGATAATATTGGCACAGAATTCGAGAGGTCTATATATGGCACAGAGATATAGAAGAGGTCAGATAATATGGCATCATAGATATAGAGAGAGGTCAGATAATATGGCCACAGAGATATAGAGATGTTCGATATATGGCACAGAGATAGAGAGAGGTCAGATAATATGGCACAGAGATATAGAGAGGTCAGATAATATGGCACAGAGATATAGAGAGAGGTCAGATAATATGGCACAGAGATATAGAGAGGTCAGATAATATGGCACAGAGATATAGAGAGGTCAGATAATATGGCACAGAGATATAGAGAGGTCAGATAATATGGCACAGAGATATAGGAGAGGTCAGATAATATGGCACAGAGATATAGAGAGGTCAGATAATATGGCACAGAGATATAGAGAGGGTCAGATAATATGGCACAGAGATATAGAGAGGTCAGATAATGGCCCAGAGATAAGAGAGGTCAGATAATATGGCACAGAGATATAGAGAGAGGTCAGATAATATGGCACAGAGATATAGAGAGGTCAGATAATATGGCACAGAGATATAGAGAGGTCAGATAATATGGCACAGAGATATAGAGAGGTCAGATAATATGGCACAGAGATATAGAGAGGTCAGATAATATGGCACAGAGATATAGAGAGGTCAGATAATATGGCACAGAGATATAGAGAGGTCAGATAATATGGCACAGAGATATAGAGAGGTCAGATAATATGGCACAGAGATATAGAGAGGTCAGATAATATGGCACAGAGATATAGAGAGAGGTCAGATAATATGGCACAGAGATATAGAGAGGTCAGATAATATGGCACAGAGATATAGAGAGGTCAGATAATATGGCACAGAGATATAGAGAGGTCAGATATAGTTGAAGTCGGAGGTTTACATATACCTTAGCCAAATACATTTAAACTCAGTTTTTCACAATTCCTGACATTTAATCCTAGTAAGAATTCGCTGTTTTAGGTCAGTTAGGATCACCACTTTATTTTAAGAATGTGAAATGTCAGAATAATAGTAGAGAGAATTATTTATTTCAGCTTTTATTGCTTTCATCACATTCCCAGTGGGTCCGAAGTTTACATACACTCAATTAGTATTTGGTAGCGTTGCCTTTAAATGGTTTAACTTGGGTCAAACGTTTCGGGTAGCCTTCCACAAGCTTCCCACAATAAGTTGGGTGAATTTTGGCCCATTCCTCCTGACAGAGCTGGTATAACTGAGTCAGGTTTGTAGGCCTCCTTGCTTGCACACGCTTTTTCAGTTCGGCCCACACATTTTCTATAGGATTGAGGTCAGCGCTTTGTGATGGCCACTCCAATACCTTGACTTTGTTGTCCTTAAGCCATTTTGCCACAACTTTGGAAGTATGCTTGGGGTCATTGTCCATTTGGAAGACCCATTTGCGACCAAGCTTTAACTTCCTGACTGATGTCTTGAGATATTTCTTCAATATATCCACATAATTTCCCTTCCTCATGATGCCATCTATTTTGTGAAGTGCACCAGTCCCTCCTGCAGCAAAGCACCCCCACAGCATGATGCTGACACCCCCGTGCTTTACGGTTGGGACGGTGTTCTTCGGCTTGCAAGCATCCCCCTTTTTCCTCCAAACATAACGATGGTCAGCATCTTCACAAGGTCCTTTGCTGTTGTTCTGGGATTGATTTGCACTTTTCACACCAAGTACGTTCATCTCTAGGATACAGAACGCGTCTCCTTCCTGAGCGGTATGACGGCTGCGTGGTCCCATGGTGTTTATACTTGCGTACTATTGTTTGTACAGATGAACGTGGTACCTTCAGGCGTTTGGAAATTGCTCCCAAGGATGAACCAGACTTGTGGAGGTCTACCATTTTCTTCTGAGGTCTTGGCTGATTTATTTTGATATTCCCATGATGTCAAGCAAAGAGGCACTGAGTTTGAAGGTAGGCCTTGAAATACATCCACAGGTACACCACCAATTGACTCAAATGATGTCAATTAGCCTATCAGAAGCTTCTAAAGCCATTACATCATTTTCTGGAATTTTCCAAGCTGTTTAAAGGCACAGTCAACTTAGTGTATGTAAACTTCTGACCCACTTGAATTGTGATACAGTGAATTATAAGTTAAATAATCTGTCTATAAACAATTGTTGGAAAAATTACTGGTGTCATGCACAAAGTAGATGTCCTAACCGACTTGCCAAAACTATAGTTTGTTAACAAGAAATGTGTGGAGTGGTTGAAAAACAAGTTTTAATGACTCCAATCTAAGTGTATGTAACCTTCCGGCTTCAACTGTAATATGGCACAGAGATATAGAGAGGTCAGATAATATGGCACAGAGATATAGAGAGAGGTCAGATAATATGGCACAGAGATATAGAGAGGTCAGATAATATGGCACAGAGATATAGAGAGGTCAGATAATATGGCACAGAGATAGAGAGAGGTCAGATAATATGGCACAGAGATATAGAGAGGTCAGATAATATGGCACAGAGATATAGAGAGGTCAGATAATATGGCACAGAGATATAGAGAGGGTCAGATAATATGGCACAGAGATATAGAGAGAGGTCAGATAATATGGCACAGAGATATAGAGAGGTCAGATAATATGGCACAGAGATATAGAGAGAGGTCAGATAATATGGCACAGAATATAGAGAGGTCAGATAAATGGCACAGAATATAGAGAGGTCGATAATATGCACAGAGATATAGAGAGAGGTCAGATAATATGGCACAGAGATATAGAGAGGTCAGATAATATGGCACAGAGATATAGAGAGGTCAGATAATATGGCACAGAGATATAGAGAGATCAGATAATATGGCACAGAGATATAGAGAGAGGTCAGATAATATGGCACAGAGATATAGAGAGGTCAGATAATATGGCACAGAGATATAGAGAGAGGTCAGATAATATGGCACAGAGATATAGAGAGAAAGACAGAGCGAGACTTGCAGAAAGGACCAAAAGAATATGAGAGAGAGGGGGGGGGGGGAGAGAGAGAGAGTAGTTTTAAATGGAGGGTAGTAGACTGAACATTGGAATGTTTTCCAGATACAATATCTATGCAAGGATACTGTAGGAGGATGTTGTTTTCCAGATATCAAGGATACTGTAGGAGGATGTTGTTTTCCAGATATCAAGGATACTGTAGGAGGATGTTGTTTTCCAGATATCAAGGCTACTGTAGGAGGATGTTGTTTTCCAGATATCAAGGATACTGTAGGAGGATGTTGTTTTCCAGATATCAAGGCTACTGTAGGAGGATGTTGTTTTCCAGATATCAAGGATACTGTAGGAGGATGTTGTTTTCCAGATATCAAGGATACTGTAGGAGGATGTTGTTTTCCAGATTCAAGGATACTGTAGGAGGATGTTTGTTTCCAGATATCAAGGATACTGTAGGAGGATGTTGTTTTCCAGATATCAAGGATACTGTAGGAGGATGTTGTTTTCCAGATATCAAGGATACTGTAGGAGGATGTTGTTTTCCAGATATCAAGGATACTGTAGGAGGATGTTGTTTTCCAGATATCAAGGATACTGTAGGAGGATGTTGTTTTCCAGATATCAAGGATACTGTAGGAGGATGTTGTTTTCCAGATATCAAGGATACTGTATATGGATGTTGTTTTCCAGATATCAAGGATACTGTATATGGATGTGTCCCAATTCCATATTGGTACCCTATTCCATATTTAGTGACGGGATAAGTTTCTCTGAAATAGGAAAACCAGAGGGCTGGTAAATATGTTTTCGGGGTACCTGGATGTCGCCTTCAGCAACGGGAGATCAGTGTGTAACATTCCAGGTTTCCCAGAGCGAAGAGGCTAGCCACTATAAAGGGAATGCCTTTTTGGGACGAAGCCTAGAAGAGTGGATGTGTGGGAGTAAGGGAAGGGGAGAGATGGACAGAGAGACAGCCGAGCACAGACATCGGACGCCACCTTTTAGGATCTGCTCTTTGGAGTCAGAGAACAAGAGGAGAGGAGGGCAATAAAGACAGGATGCTGGAGGTGAAAGGCTAAACAGATTATCTGCACTCCTCCTTTTTATCTTGTCTTCCGTGGAGAACAGAAGGAGAGTTCTATTCTCCACCAACTGAAGGAGAGGCATAGAGGGAACATTCTATTCATGTTCAACTGAAGTGGAAACAGCTCAACACGCTGTGGATAAACATGGACACTGAACACAGAGAATCCAAACATCTGAGAGTGCCATCATGAACCAGTTCTTCTATAAACAGCGTGTGTGTGTGTGTGGGCACGTGTGTTTTCACAGTCACCTCTGCAGATAGGAGGCTATCTATCTTCCGTCACACTGGACCCCTGTCTTCTTCAGCCAACGACCCAGCACAGCAAAACAAAATGGAGGATATCTGATCCTCCTCTCTGACCTCCTATAGCCTCGTTATCACTATCTGCCTGCTTGGTTTCTCACGTTACACCCTATTCCCTGAGTAGTGCACTACTTTTGACCAGAGCCCTATGGGACAGCCCTATGCGTATGTATACTGCCCCTTACATTGTATGGGCCCTGGTCAAAAGTAGTGCACTACTTAGGGAATAGGGTACCATTCACTCACTCCACTGTCTGCATCTACCCAGAGTTCGAGGGGAGGCACTGGACTTGAGTTACAAGCAGCTCCCCCTCTCTCTCCAACCTCCCCCCAGGCAGTAATCTAAATGGATCTATGGTTGGATTACTGGTTCCTCTCATGGTTTTATGGCTGTCTGAGGTGGTCCAGGCGCACAGGCTGTGAGCACAGCCC